AATCGGAGACTGTAACTTTAATCAATATATGTGTGTATGAGCGTGTTGTGTGCCCCAATCTTTTTGTTGGCATCCACAGTATAAAACCTCTCAAGGCGGGGGTTCAAATCGCCTCTGACATAGTTGACATTAAGGAGGCGGTGCTCAAATTGTTTGGCACATTAGAGGTGGCTGGAGGCTCGTATAATAGTCTCGGATCATTTCTTTAATATCCCAAACTCACACGATTCCATTATATGCTTCTAATGTTTAGATTTCGTGCCAGATTGAGCTCCGAGACATGTAAATACAAAGTACGTGCATCACTGCAGATGGGCATGTTCTTGAAGCGATAAAATTTGAATCAACTCATCCATGCCAGGGAATTAATAGGGCTCGAAGTAAACAGGCTAGATCTGCTTGGGTTGCTTGCTCAATTATAGACATTGCCAAGAAGGATTCAGACATTACTCTCAAACAGATCAGCAACAACCTGGAGTCAATTTATAATATGTTACTATCATATATGAAGCTGTGGACTTCACTAGAAGAAGCACGGGATATCTTACTTGGATCGGCTCGAATTATTTTTAATTTATAAAATTATATATAATGCTAAATAAAATCAAATATAACAAGCAAAGAGTTCATTTCAAGCCGGATCGAGCGGATTTTGAGCTACAACAGATTCAAATAACTCGAAGTTGAGCCAACTCATTTCAATTTCGGGGCGAACTGAGCACGTCTTATTTTCTAGCTGAGCGGGCTCGAAATGGAACATAACGACCCAGAACCCAAACACAATCAATTCGAGCTGATTTCAAGCTATCCTAGCTCGGCGCCAAATCGGTTCCTCAACGGCTCGACTTATAAGCAATTTTTTTTATTTGGATAAATATCAAATAAAATAAAAAATGTTTCATATATGTATAGATAAATTTGGCAATGAAAAAAGTTTATGAACTTCATATAAATCATATTTTGATGCTTTGATGCAGCTTAATAATTGTTGTATGAAATTTAATATGAGAACATAAAAAAGTAAAATAAGCACCTGCCACGCGCCTGTAGCTCAGTGGATAGAGCGTCTGTTTCCTAAGCAGAAAGTCGTAGGTTCGACCCCTACCTGGCGCGTTTATGTAAATATTTAATTTTTTTTTTATTTTGCAAAAACGTCAGGATGATGGGTATTTTTTTCGAAAGTCAACCGAAAAAATCTAATGATGTAAAAATAGAAATATTTTAATCTTACATATAAAATGCTACATATTTTATTTAATATTAAAATAGATAAATTAATTGTGATTGACAGGTCATCAATAAATTATAATCATCCTACATGAATTTTGAGAGATCATACGAATCTAGAGGTAATTTATTTGAGTAAAAAATATTCATATGCGATAAAAAGTCATCCGTAACTCTGATTTAAGTTCGATAAGACAAACTTGGTGCTATCAAAACTAGTCCAATCTCAGTCAAATGAAAGTTATATCAAATCATTAAACAGTTATTAAAAGATTTTAAAACACATTTGGGAGTTCAAACGGATGTCGAATCAAACGTCTCGTCAGATGAATCTGACGAGCTCAAGATCACTCAATTGTGACATCATTAAGGGCCCGTTTGGGGCAGCTTATAAGTGCGATGACAATTTTGAAAACACCGCCGCACTGTTTGTTTTTCACATTTTACCTGATTATATGTAAATGACGTTTTTTTTTTAGAATACGCGATCGCGGGTTATACCTCGTGATCAGCATTTCGAACGCCGGTTGGGGATAAATTTTACGCACCTACCCCTCACGACCCCGCTTCCTGCATCGTGCCCTAAAAATCTCTTCCGCCGAATGGAAGCTGCGCTTACCTCCGCTCCCGATAGCCCACCCTCTTAAATTATTGATTAGAGTAAAATATAAATTTTTTATTACAATTTACGTTACAGATAATTTTAAATTTTTTTAAAAAAAATTTATCTACAAAAAAGTTACATATAAGTTGTTTTCCAAACATACATAATAAACAACTAAACAACTTATCTAGAACAGAGACAGAATAGTCATTTATCTAGAATCAGTTATTTTCCAAATGCACAAACCAAACAGTCAGTCAGTTTATCCGGATCAGCTGCTCATTAGCAGATTATCATGATAAACTGCTTATCACCAAAAACTGGATAAGCTGCAACTGCCCCAAACAAACCCTAAGACACTCAAATATCTTCAGATTGAAGGAAGTTTTTGGATCATCTGATCAAAATAGTTCATATTACTACATTAATTGCACCCAAAATACTATAAATAAAGTCTCACCCTTCTCACAAGAGGGGGAAGCTTGAGTCTTGTGAGAGAACATGAAGTTTTGAGAATAAATTGAAGTCCAACACCGTCCCTACATTGTCGGTCGTTGTCGACCACTGCTGACCGTCGTAGACCACCGCTAAACTTCGTTTACCACTGTCAACCGCTTTCGACAACAACCAACCACCGTCGAGCACTACTGTCATCATTAAACACCACTGATGAACATCTCGATTACCGCTAATTGTCGTAGACCACCACGAACTAGACGTCGTCAGTTGACATTGTAACTTGAAAAATCTAGTAATCATTTCTCATCTGGAAGACAATGGGTATTTGTAATCATAAAACTATAATGAATTTTTACAACTGAACCAGACACTATGATTTTTTTTCATTTACGAGTTTTTACATTAAAAAACTTCTGATGTCATCACTACTTTTCTTTCACCTAAGTGTGTGTTAAAATCTATTGCAGTGTTCAGACGATAATCAATTATCCTATCATCGTGAATTTTCTACCACGCATCATTGATTTTAAAAGACAGTGTGAATTAATGTAATGGTTTGATATGTTGATTTTATTTTGGTTAAACAATCTAATATTAGATTTGAGTGGGCGTTAATTTGATTTGTGTTCGATCTTAAATTTAGACCTAAGTGGAGGTGGCTTGATCATTCCCTATGATTCAAATATATTTGATTTGTGCTTAATTCTGTTTTAGTTTTGTGCTCAATAAGATGTCCCTAAAATCCTGCAGCAGCCCTTAGGTCTAAATCGAGGTTTAAGGATGCTTAATCCCTTAGTAATAGTTGATTAAGTAATTAAGTTAAAGTTTGGGAGACTTAACTTGATTAATCTATGGAGGCAAGAGGACAACATTGGTCTCTTAGATGCACTATAATGCACTGGGGAGGAGAGGAAAAGCTAGAGGAGTTTGCTTGAGTTATAATCTAATGTAGGGGCAAAACCAACAAATATCTGTATTGCGCCCCCCCCCCCCCCCCCCCCCATAGCTCTGAATAGGGGCTAGACTGGGACAACGAAAGACAAAGTGATATTTCATGAGGGGCAATACTTATATTTCTAGAGAGGTGAAAGACCAAATTGGGAGAGGGGGGGCTCGTTCTTCACAGCAATCCCATTTCGACTAATGCAACCATAGCAGGGTTAGTACAACTCCATCCAACCCCTTGAGGCGACCCAATAGACCACCCTGATTGATTTGAGTAAGCCCCATAGTGTAATTAAGCTCGGGGGACCAGGGAAGCGATTATTTGAAGCTTTTGGCCACACTGGACTCCTTTCGACCAAGGTTAGAGAGATACAATGAAATGCATATCAACTCAGGGGCAACTAAAGTTGTTTGAAGCATTTGTAGAAGAATTTATTCAAAAAGCTGCGATGGCAATTGCAAAATTATATTAATTTCACAAAATCAGACCGTAATTTTCTAGCAGTCATTGCATTTTAATCAGTCTGGTTGAAAAAAATATATTTCTGCCACAAAAATTTCTAGAAAGCAACAATAAAGCAGCTCCTCAAAACATAATTATGATGGCGGTCTTAAAAAAACCAGACGAAAACTGGCCCCAAACGGACCCTAAGGTTATGCAGGTTTCGCTCCATTGAGCATAACTTGGAGTTATGTTTAGATATGAGTTGAGCTCAGTTCTTTTTATGCTTGAGTTTAATGAGCTGAGTACCATTAAAGTTGACCCTATGTGTTCAGCTAATTAAAAAAAAAGTTAAATGGCAATTACATACATACCATCCAGTTCCTATGGATTTACATATGTAGCATTTAAACTTTCCCTTTTTACATTTATAGCACCCAAATCTTACTAATAAAATACACATTTAAAGCATAAACAGGTTAGCATGAATGTAAAAATTGAAATTTAGTTGTTAGATATGTAAATACATAAGAATCGACTGACCTACATGTAAATCATTCAAGAATACCACAATCAGCTCCCAGCAGAACAAGAGCTCATACAAGTATCATTTGGACGAGAATGGTTGTCATTTTATGTCAGGCCAAAACTTAGATTTTTACAAACACGACATCCTAACTATGCATGAAACTGTGGATTTCACTGTTCCACACTGTTGAAAAGTGTGAATTTTGGTGTGAGATATGTAAATACATAAAACTTGGCTGTTGTGTATGTAAATTCCCTTCTGTTTTTACACACACCCCAACTCACGCATCTCGCATATGCAAGGACTTGAACGCAAGACCCCTTGGTCGAAAGAGAAAGCTCTGAACCACTAGACTAAATTGGTTTACATACAACTAATGAAGCTTTTAATCTTCAAGGATATCAAATTCATGAGGCATGAAATCTTCAGTAGTCCTGTAATATTTTTCAGGAGAATACAAGCCCCGAGTTTGTCACTTGGCTAGTATACAAACATGCAAACCTCTCAATCATATATATAAAGGAATGGTCAAAGACTATTATACAAGTCTCCAACCACTCTTAATGTGCCTAACAATTCGAGTACCACCCTCCTTAAGGCTCAAGTCGCTAGATGGGGATTCAAACCCCCGACTGGAAGGGTCTTACACCAAGGATGCCAACCAACAAACCGCTACGCGGCACGACATTTTCTATATCTATATATATATATATATATATATATATAGAGAGAGAGAGAGAGAGAGAGAGAGAGAGAGAGAGAGAGCACACACAGTTCACATAATATCATTAGTAGAGGGCACGAACCTGATGAGCAAATCAGGAGTTCTGGTGGCCTATCTTCATGAGCTGTCCCCAAACCTGATGAAGCTGAATGAGGATAAAGATGTTAAACACTCAGACTGAAAAATAGCTCTACAGGAGTTGTATGAACATGGCAGAACTTAGCAAGAGCAAGATCTGTGCTTACGTTCTGGTGACTTTCTCTCTGGACATTGTGACGTTGATGCCTTACGCCATCCCTTTCTGACTGAAATTCATAACCACAGAAAGAATTTTATGTAAAAAGATGATTGAATCATGCATCGAAACTAGAAGCATGAACTACCTGTAAAAATATGCCGTTATATTTTAAAATTTGACATTTTTTTATTGTCATTTCTTTTTAAATTCACGCAGCATTTCTAACTTTATAATATATTCAAGAATTTGACACATAGGTAGTAGTGTGAGTGCATATGTATTCTTCTTATTTTAGTGCACATTACTTATTTTTGCTTGCACAATTTTCAGAATGTATTGTTGACCTCCATATATAATTCACGAGACAAACAAGCATTAATAATGAACATTAGGATGTTGCAGTTGCCATCAAAGGTGTTCAAACGTTCATCGATCAGAAAATGAGCCACACCGTCTCTTCTACAGTATCAAGAATTTTTTAGGAATGCCACTTGCGAACATTAAGGTCATCAAATGTGCGGTCATGCAAAATGGAATTGATTTGCTTCAAATGCATTAGTCATTGTCAAAATTTCCCAAGGAGGGACCTCCTATGGCTGAAAAAGAGCAAACATGAAAATGACGAGATTCGAACCCAGCATCGCACGGCAAGTGAATTTGCCGTGATCATCGCTATGAATGTTCAAATGAGCTCCGTTCGCAATCAACTAGAAAATATATTCATATTGCTTGTGTGTATGTGTGTGTCTATATATATTGACGAGGGGCTTCCTAGGGGCTAAACCGACTGCATCAACTGAACAGGTTGGATCAGCTGAACTGGTTCCAATAGGCGAGCAGGGCCAGCCGGTCCATGTTTATGGGCTAGGGTTGCCGCTCAAGGGAAGGGGCCTCCCTCTCTTAATTATCTACTATGTATATGTATTTTTCTTGTGTTAGAGTTCAATTTTGTTTGAGATTTCTATCAGGACAGCCTCTGACGTCATTTTTCCCTTTATTTGATAGCAAGAAAGTGCTCCAACTGTAAGTCGTCCCGAGATGGTATGTATCTTTCCCTGTTCCTACTTGTTTTGCTGCTCTAACATCCCTTCTGCTACCTTTTCCGCACCACTTTGCTCCCAACCACCAGCTGTAAGTCATCCCGAGGTGGTATGTATCTTTCCCTGTTCCTACTTGTTTCGCTGCTCTAACATCCCTTCGGCTACCTTTTCCGCACCACTTTGCTCCCAACCACCAACTCCCACCCTTCTTCCTGCCGCCAGGCATTTCCCAGCACAGTTCTGCCGCCCCCAGCCGCCAACTCCAACCCCTCTACTTGCACCTGCTCTCTCCCTGCCGTAACCCACTATCCACCTTCCTCCCTAACATAAACCCCATTGCCATCCACCCCATTGCTGTACTGTAACCCCTTCCACCCCTTTCCTGCCCAACCAGGGTTCGTACCCTTCGCCCACGCCCTATGATATCTTTTAAGTTTGTGTTTGTTATATTTGTCAAGAGTCTTTGTGTCACCCTGTTGAATTTTAGTAACAATATTTTCATTCCTATTGTGATTCCGCTCAACTCCGGTATCATTTATATATTCGTCAAATATCTCTTATCTCCGCCTCCCTACAATCATCCCTAACCCAACTTCTACTCATGCCTTATCTTCACATCCCAGCCGCCACCCCAACCTTCGGCACCCTCACCAAACTGCCGCTCCAGCTCTCCCCCTCCATTTACTGCTGGTCGCCCGTTCCTGCAGCTTGCAAAACACCTGCGCCTCTTCCAGACCTTTCCAGAGTTCATATGGAGCCCTTCACTGTGTTGCAGCCCTCTCCTTCCCTTCTTCCTGCTCCACAACAGCCGCCTCAATTCACCACATCAAGCAGCTGCCTTTTTCTCTACCAAAAAAACAATTCCATCTCCTCTCCTCCAAACATCAGCTCTCCAAATCAAGTCAACCATCACCATCTGCTGCTCCTATCACTTCACTAGCAAACTCCACATCTCTTTTGCTATCATTTTCCACCCTACTGGTTCTCCAACAAAAATCTGAAAGCAAAAGAGAAAAAAGGAGAGTACTGTGTGTTGTTTGTCCTCAAAATTACTAAATTGAAACCCAACAATAGACACAAACAAGCACCCCTAAAATGTATCCCAAGTGTGGTGGAGGTCGGCTAGGTGGATCAGAATGACTGGCGGATGTGGTAGCAACAAAGGAATGCTGGTAGCAGAGAGAAGGAGACACAAAAATGCAGGGACAACACATATCGTTGCTGTCCTTGATGGTAGCAGCGAGGGGTTGGGTTGATAGCAGTGGAATCGTAAGAATACGTGTTCCCTGGCTAACCTGGGTCGCAGCGGCAAGGTTGGAGGCCTCAAACAACAAGAAAAAGGCTTAGAAAGGTGTGGTTTGGGATGGCAGCAATGTATAAAGGGAGGGGGGAGGCGGTTGGGCTGCTGGAGGCTGCAGAAAATAGTAAGGTGGCTGTAGGGAACATGGAGACGGCGGCGGTGGAGAGAAGGTTGTGGAGTGGGAAAGTCGAGGATAATCACAACTTCGAACGAGATACAACCGGACCACCACTCGTCATCAGATACAGCCCTAGAAGGGAAAGCCTGGATGCCGATGATTGTCCTGACAAAAAACATGAAAAAAAACTGCTCAAAAACACAAAAAAACAATATATACTAGCGAAATTAAGGAGTGGACCCATCAAGTGCGTGGCAATTTTACGCACTCAGGAGAGTCTGTTGACCCTTGATTTGTCTAGACCGAGAGGTCCGAGTTCACGCATTTAGGGGACAAGTGCACGTGGGAATAGACATCCGTATCAGTTAGGGTTTGGGAGAGATCATCTACCTCTCTAATTGTAGGTGTTTATCCGTTATGTTATTTGGTGTTATTAAAATAAAATATTTGTTTCCCTAAAATTTTGAGAAAATCTACTCTGATTCATACAAAATTGCTATCATAGCAATATCTATGGGAAAGAAACGACATAAACGCCTAAAGGTTTTAAAACACAAAAGCCAACAACAGGATCTAGCGTGCCCTAGTAGACTCCGAGAAGTCAATGACGGGACAGGGCAGGCTAAAGACCGAACCTTGCGATATGGGAAGCCGACGACAGCATTGCGGTGTTCCTATCGAGATTCAAGCTACCTGGGAGCCGACCAGATCACATTTTTACATAGCTAGGAAGCAAACGACGGGATTGTTGCGCACAAAGCGAAATAGTAGCTTGATTCAAAATTTTGGGGCATACAGATGATAGGATCACGGCGAACACAACGATACAATCACTTTATTTGACTTAGCAGGGAAGGAAATGATGGGATTGTGATGTAAAGTAACCAAACTGTATGATACAATTGTGATTCGAGCTAACTGGGAAGCCATCGAGCGTATAAAGTGACGTCTTCATGATAAAAAATTTTTTGGCAGTAATAGCAACAAAAAAAAAAGAAATTTAGAGAAGAAATTAAACAGAGAGCTGAGCCAAATTGAATCTGAAATGGACGAGCATTTCTCCACCATGAATGGGCGGTTCTTGTCCATGAAGGGGAGATTCATAGTTTTGGAAGAAATGATGAAGAGGATCTGGAGTTTCACGCAAAATAGCTAAGGGATCAAGCGAAGTCGTCGGAAACTGACGTGAGCAGCAGCAATCTGAAAAATTTGTTTGGCATCGACATCGTTGCCTTAAGCGAATCTGGAGCTGCGGGATGAAACAAAGTAATCGAGAGCGGAATCGAGAGGCATCACTTGGAAGGAATGAGACATCTAAACAGCTGAAACAAACAAAAGCAGGCGGAATAGAGAGGTCCAATCAGGAGTAGACTCTAGTGATAGCACTTGGTAGAAATAGCACAACATTTGAATAGCGGGAAAGAACTGAAGAAGGCATGGATTGAGCGAAGGAGTAGGGAATGAATTCGAGCGGCAGCATCTGAAGAGAATGAAGCGACATATGGAGATTTGGAACAAGTGGCAGCAGACGAAACAAGACAACGTGCAATTCAAGGCTGGAAAAGATCGCTTCAAACTATTTTGGTCTGGAACAGAGAACCAAGTTGGGTGAGACCTCGGCGGAGGGCTCCTTCCAACTATGTCAGTACCTTTTGCAATGGCAGCCTTCCAGGTGGAAGACGATTCAGAAGTCATGATCGAAAAGGGACGGGTGGAGAATAGTAGGAGAGTTTGTAATTGACTGATTTTGACACTGTAGAGTTTTCATAACGGAGAAAAAATGGTGGTGCTTTGCAATTACCCTATTTTGTGCAAGATCTAGGGGTGCATATCCATTAAAAGTGACATTTGTATTGGAGTGGCCACCACCTAAGACCTTGAAAGGGTTGAGAACATTTCTGGGACTTACAAAATACTATCGGAAGTTTGTGAAGGGTTGTCATTCGATTGTGTGGCCATTAATAGATAAGTTGAAAACAAACTTTCAATGGGGGAAAGCAATGACTCGTGCTTTTGAGAAGTTAAAGAAGATCATGACAAGGGTACCAGTTCTAGTGTTACCAAATTTCAACCAACCTTTCATTGTAGAAACGAATGTTTTAGGCTATGTATTAAGTACGATCTTCGGAAACTGTCAACGATCTATCACTTATTTCAATCAACTGCAAACGATGATAGCTAAAATAAAGTAAGTTTATAAGTGGGAGCCACACGACTTGATCAAGCAAAATAACAAGCTTTTCTAATGAAATACATGGAGCAAAAGAAAATTCTTCCACAAGTGGAGAAAATGGGACATCAGCCAAAAATATTAAGATCCCTATCTGCAAGAATATAGAAAATGACTCAATAAAAGTTGCAGACATAATGTCCTGAGCGTGATAGGATAACTAAAAAGTCTAAGGAAAACAAATGCCTTAAGAGAATATCTGAAGAAAGAAATTGAGAGAGGAATCTAAGGTGTGCTTGCTATTTTATAAGGAAATAAAGGGATAAAAATGTTAAAAAAAAACAAAATAAAAATAATTTTAATTTTAATATTCATTCTTGGATTGAAATGCAAAATTATTGTTGCAAATGGCAACATAAACTATTGCCAATTCTAGTGACAACGCAAGAACGACACTAGTTTCAAGGTCACTTCAGCAATCATTATCATGCATCAATCATTTAAGGCCCACTTGGCACCACTTTTATTTTTTGCTTTTATTTTCGTTTTTACCTCTAGAAAACATACTTGGTTTGTATAATTTCTATATGTTTTTATTTTTCTGTTTTAAAAAACAAATGACCTTAGCATATATGCACGTTTATGTTATATATATATATATATAATTTATGCATGTTAGATTACAAATTACTAAGGTGTTCTTCGGTCGGCAGAAAAAAAAAACATTGCATAATAAATGTGGGATTTTATATTTTCTTCTTCTGTTTCAAAAAAAAAATGAAATTAATGTAATATATGTTAGTCCACGTCAGTTGCATTGACCAACATGCACGACGGCCAGCGAGAAACAATTTATACACAATAATGTATTTAGAAATCATCAAATCCAATAAATTATTCCAAAGTACTCTAAATACTCAAAAAAAAAAATTTAAGACTAACTCTTTTACAACAAAATAGTAGTACATTGTCATCATCAACTTGTTAAGGATCCTAAATCCAATCCATAAGCCTTCAAGAGTTCCAATAACCTCTATAGGCATCTGCTGCAAGTGCCTTGAATGATATTATATTGCTCTTGATAAGATAAATATTTTAGCATTAAAACGTTGCACTTTCATTATTATTGTTACTTTTTAGTGACCCTACAGTTGCTCCATGAATATTATATGTATATCGATAAATTCCTATGGACCAACAAATCATAGAAGTGTTCGAAGCACGTGACTGAGACGAGATTATTTGAGGCATATTCGAAGAAATCTCGAGTCCATACAAGATGGGAGCTCAACAACCTCCACAAAGGTCATTATTCACACCAACTCGGCGAGAAGGATGAGATCTCGCCAGCTCACTTACAAAGACAGCATCGAACTTCATGGCGATATGAGTTGTTAGAGTCTTTTCTACCGTATGATCATTTATGTAGCCTCCCTCAGGGCACATTCACCTCAAACCCGATTGATAAGGGGTGTCCTCCCTTGGGGAAGGAGACTTTGATTCTCTCTCTCTCTACCATATTCCTTATCAACGAGGAGATAATATCATTTGCTCTCTCTTCTCTTATAATCCCTGATCAGGTGGTGCGACAATGCTGACATTTTTAATTCAACATTATAAAAATTGTTACGATGAATATGCCCCTTGAATTTTTGATTCATCAACTCTCTTGAATTCATAGCATCAAGAGCTTCAAAATCATATAACCCTAAATTTGCATTCCCGATTAGGAGTGATTTAAACCATTTGATGCAAGTACAAAATTTAATGGACTCTGGTTAAATAGGCTAAAAGACTCTTGAAATCTATAAATAAATCACAATCCCACAAATTATGGACATCTGAAATATATCTGAAACCAATTAAAGTTTTTAATCACAGAGAATGCTAAGGTTTTATTATCCCTTCTTATAAACTTGAATTATCAAAGATGACATGATATACAAACTAGGAAAATTTACGCATATACCACATAATTTTGATGGATTTACATATCTAACACCCAAGGTTTAATATTTACACTTATAATATCTTGTTGTCATAAACCTATGCATGAAAAAGTGCATTTCAGATTTAAAAAGAAAGTGTTGGTGTTATTTTCAATATGATGTTAAAAATCTGAGTATTATGCATATAAATATGAATGTTTAGTAGATGTCAGATATATAAATACATAAGAATTGTGTGGTATGTGTGTAAATACCCCTACAAACAATTACAGCATCACAAACTGTAAAACACATACCTTTGTCACAAGCTCTCAAACACTCATCTGCTTACCAGAGCATGCATCCATTAGATACAAGCAATCAGGATTGGGAACATAGCCTGCCTCCTTCAGCTCGAAAACCAACACCTTCAACAATAAATAGATACACACATACTCTGGATGAGATTTGCCACCTGAGACAAACATGTGATTCGTGTTGTTAACTTCAAACCAGCTACAACCCGGAAACTTCTGCAAATTCCTTTCTTTCATCATCTTCCTAACTCTTAGAACCCCCTCCGACTGACCAGAGACGGCATGAACATTCGACATCAAAATATAGTATCCAGAATTCCCAGGATCCAGCTCGAACAGGTGCTTAGCAGCAATCTCCGCAAGCTCGGAATTGCGGTGCACACGACAAGCTCCAAGCAATGCGCCCCAAATCCCAGCATCGGCTTCGAACGGCATATTCAATATAAAGTTGTAAGCTTTATGTAGTTCTCCAGCACGGCCATACAGATCAACCATGCATGCATAATGCTCGTTCTTTGCAGATATGCCAAAGTCTTTCATGTGACTGAAGAAGCCAAACCCCTCTTTGATCCGGCCAGTGTGGCTGCAAGCCGATATCAATGTGAGGAAAGTAATGTGGTCGGGCAAAAACCCAACATTCTCCATCTCATGAAACAAGCTAACCGCTTCATCAACCAAGCCATGGGCTCCATAAGCGGCAATAATGCTGTTCCAGGACACCTCGTTCTTCTCCTTCATCGAATCAAAAACACGACGAGCGATGTTTAACTCCCCACATTTGCCATACATATCTATCAGACAACTCTCAGTATACAAATCTGCTGTGAAAGCAGCTCTGATCATGAAGCCATGGATCTCCTTCCCATAATTCAGCGCAGGTAAACTCGCACAAGCTGATAGAATGGAGGATATGGTTACAGCATCACACATCATCCCCTCAGCTCTCATCTGATAGAACATATTGAAAACCTCTTCTGGTTCCCCATTTTGATTAAAGTTTGCAATCATGGAGTTCCAAGCCACAGTATCTTTGTCCAAAATCTTCTCAAAAATTCCATGGCCGAGATCCAGTCGTCCGCATTTTGCATACATATCGATCAGAGAACTCGCCACATAACAAATTCCTTCAAATCCATTCTTAAGAACATAACAGTGTAATTCTTTCCCT